AAGGCTTCGGTACTTCAGGCCTGGAGCGCTTGCGAGCTCAAGAGCCACCCCCTCCCCCGAATCATTTTTTGGGGTTTACGGTTTAGGGTTTAGGGTTCGATACTTTTGTAGTTTTTGCGGCGGAGGGGGGTACGTATTTCGAGAACGTGGTAGTTGTGAGAAAGTGTGGAGGCCCCCCCAGCCTCCCCCAAAGCCTGAACGTGCAACAGAACATGTCGTCACGGCCCAGAGAAATGCCAAAAGTGTGCTCAAGACTGAAAACCTCTGCAAAACGCCGCGGAAGTGCCTGCCGCCGACGCACGTGCCTACGTGGTGTAAGTGTTCTTGCAACAAACGACAAAAGCCCTAAACCCTAAGCCCTAAACCCTAAGCCCTAAACCCTAAACCCTAAACCCTAAACCCTAAACCCTAAACCCTAAACCCTAAACCCTGAACCCTAAACCCTAAACCCTAAATGAGGAAACCGCAGCACACTCTGGAAGATCGACTCCTCTGCGGGGTCCACCCGGGTGGAGGATGGCTCGATGGACCTGGTCTTTGTGGATGGCGACCACAGCTACGAAGGAGCTACTTGGCTTAGGGTTTAGGGTTTAGGGTTTAGGGTTTAGGGTTTAGGGTTTAGGGTTTAGGGTTTAGGGTTTAGGGTTTAGGGTTTAGGGTTTAGGGTTTAGGGTTTAGGGTTTAGGGTCGAAAGTCCTGGAGCCCTGATGATTTGTTTTAATTTTTACCTTGAGCCCCCCCCCCAACCCCCCCCAAGGCCTCCCCTGAGACCCACCACCACCACCACCGCCGCCGCCACCACCACCACCACCACTGGGATTGCTATTGGGTCCTTGTCCCTACCCTAAGCCCTTGCTACGAGCAGCATGATGGAGACCGAAGAAGGGCCTCAGAAATATCCGGAGCCCGAAGCTGAAGACCTTGAACCACCCTTAGCCCTGAAGAGGTCTTCTTGTGTGGGTTTAGGGTTTAGGGTTTAGGGTTTAGGGTTTAGGGGGGTCCGGTTTTTTTTTTTTTTGCAAAGGTGTGGCTCGGCCCTGTCCCCTTGCAAAGGTGTGGCTTGGCTTGGCTTGGCTTGGCTTGGCTGGGCGTGTCCTCTGACCTGGCTTGGCTTGGCTTGGCTTGTCTGGCTTGGCTTGGCTTTGGTTGGCTTGGCTCGGCTTGGCTTGGCTTGGCTCGGCTGGGCTTGGCTTGGCTTGGCTCGGCTTGTCCTCTGGCTTGGCTTGGCTCGGCTTGGCTTTCGTTGGCTTGGCTCCTTGGCTTGGCTTGGCTCGGGTGGGCTCGGCTCGGCTTGGCTTGGCCTGGCTGGGTTGGCTTGGCTTGGCTCGGCGTGGCTTGGCTCGGCTTGGCCTGGCTTGGGTGCCGACTTCGTTTTGATTTCCCTGTTCTCCCCAGTCGCAAAGATTCTTTTTACCGCGATGTAGCTGTAGCTGGTAGAAATACGTGGAGTGTATATATGTAGTATGCGCAAGCATTGAGTTTGCAAATGGCTGCGCCCCCCCAACCCCCTCCGCTTTTTAAGCCGTGCAAGCTTGCGTCAAAGCATATGAGTCTTGTTGAAACCCATGATGCAAGCATTGAGTTTGCAAATGGGGGGGGCTGCGCCCCCCCCAACCCCCCCGCTTTTTTTGAGCCGTGCAAGCTTGCGTCAAAGCATATGATTCTTGTTGAAACCCATGATGCAAGCATTGAGTTTGCAAATGGGGGGGCTGCGCCCCCCCCAACCCCCCCGCTTTTTTTGAGCCGTGCAAGCTTGCGTCAAAGCATATGAGTCTTGTTGAAACCCATGATGCAAGCATTGAGTTTGCGAATGGGGGGGGCTGCGCCCCCCCCCAACCCCCTCGCTTTTTTAAGCCGTGCAAGCTTGCGTCAAAGCATATGAGTCTTGTTGAAACCCATGATGCAAGCATTAAGTTTGCAAATGGCCCCCCCGGTGTTGGAACCCATGATGCAAGCATTGAGTTTGCAAATGGGGGGGGCTGCGCCCCCCCCAACCCCCCCGCTTTTTTAAGCCGTGCAAGCTTGCGTCAAAGCATATGATTCTTGTTGAAACCCATGATGCAAGCATTGAGTTTGCAAATGGGGGGGGCTGCGCCCCCCCCAACCCCCCCGCTTTTTTAAGCCGTGCAAGCTTGCGTCAAAGCATATGAGTCTTGTTGAAACCCATGATGCAAGCATTAAGTTTGCAAATGGCCCCCCCGGTGTTGGAACCCATGATGCAAGCATTGAGTTTGCAAATGGGGGGGGCTGCGCCCCCCCCCAACCCCCCCGCTTTTTTAAGCCGTGCAAGCTTGCATCAAAGCATAAGAGTCTTTTTGAAACCCATGATGCAAGCATTGAGTTTGCAAATGGGGGGGGCTGCGCCCCCCCCAACCCCCCCGCTTTTTTAAGCCGTGCAAGCTTGCGTCAAAGCATATGATTCTTGTTGAAACCCATGATGCAAGCATTGAGTTTGCAAATGGGGGGGGCTGCGCCCCCCCCAACCCCCCGCTTTTTTTGAGCCGTGCAAGCTTGCGTCAAAGCATATGATTCTTGTTGAAACCCATGATGCAAGCATTGAGTTTGCAAATGGGGGGGGCTGCGCCCCCCCCAACCCCCCCGCTTTTTTAAGCCGTGCAAGCTTGCGTCAAAGCATATGAGTCTTGTTGAAACCCATGATGCAAGCATTAAGTTTGCAAATGGCCCCCCCGGTGTTGGAACCCATGATGCAAGCATTGAGTTTGCAAATGGGGGGGGCTGCGCCCCCCCCAACCCCCCCGCTTTTTTAAGCCGTGCAAGCTTGCATCAAAGCATAAGAGTCTTTTTGAAACCCATGATGCAAGCATTGAGTTTTCAAATGGGGGGGGGCTGCGCCTGCGCCCCCCCCAACCCCCCGCTTCTGAAAGCCGTGCAAGCTTGTTTCAAAGCATATGAGTTTTTTTGAAACCTAGAGGCAAGCATTGAGTTTGCAAAGAAGGGGGAGGGAGTCGGGGTGGTGAGAGTGGGGGGTGGCGGGGAGTGGGGAGGGGGGTGGGGGGGGGGGGGGGGTGGGGGGGGGGGGTGGGGGGGGTGGGCGGGGTGGGGGGGGTTGGGGGGAGTGGGGGGGGGTGGGGGGGGGTGGGGGGGTCGTTGGGGGTGGGGTATGGGGGGGGTGGGGGGGGTGGGGGGGGGGTGGGGGGGTGGGGTGGGGGGGGGTGGGGGGGGGGGTGGGTGGGACGTGGAGGGGAAGGGGGTTACCGAGCCACACCTTCGCAAGAGGACAGGGCCGAGCCACACCTTTGCAAAAAAAACAACCCTCCGCCGGTTTAGGGTTTAGGGTATAGGGTTCTGGGTTCTTGCAATATGTGCATATGTTCCATACTAAGTTTTTAAAGAGGGCTTTAGACACGGTTCCCCGAACTCAGACGATGCACTACGCTGCCCATCAAACTGTTCTGTTACTAGGGTGCAGCATAAGTTTGGAGGGTTTGATTTTGGAAGATTCCTGGTCAGAGAGGCCAAGAATACAAAGTTTTCGTTCGGGCACCATACTGTTTTCACTGACTTTGTCTAGACACCTCCCCCTTTGCCCTTATTGGGCTGTTTAAGGTTAGAGCAACCCTGAGCCCTGAACTCCACACCCCAAACCCAGAGCCCCAGAGCCCAAGAACCTTAGGGTTTAGGGTTTAGGGTTTAAGGTTTAGGGTTTAGGGTTTAGGGCTAGAAGCCCCGAGCCCCACGACCTGGAACCCCAGAACCCCAGACCCCCACTCGCAAGGTGGCGGCGAGCGGTGAGTGACAGGAGGGAAGCGATCGGTCCAAAGTGGCCCAGCCCGCGTGGCAAAGCACACAGGCTTTCGGGGCTGTACTTTGTCATCGTGGGGTAACATTTTGCATGTTTAAGGGTACTTAAACTCAATCAGGGATCGAAGTTTAAATGTCCAATAGTATCCCAATCATGAAGCAGTGAACTAGTCTAGGTTTTGGGGGCGATTTAGGGTTTAGTGTTTAAAAACCCTAAACCCGAATCAGGGTCATGTTCGGATGTTTGCCTGAAGAAGTGTAAGGGCTTCGAGTTTTGGGTTTCACTATGCCCTCAACCCCAAGCCTTAGAAACCCTGAGCTTCAAAACTTGCACCTCCTACACACTACACCCCCTAAACCCCCCTAAACCCTAAACCCTACACCCTCCACCCTCCACCCTCCACCCTCCACCCTCCACCCTCCACCCTCCACCCTCCACCCTCCACCCTACCCCCTACACCCTACACCCTACACCCCCCACCCTCCACCCTACCCCCTCCACCCCACACCCCACACCCACAAACTTCTGCCCAACTCCAAGCCCGAACCCGAAATGGGTCGAGCTTGGGAATGATCCCTCTCATCAAAGGATACTCTGTGTATACCTATATATATATATATATTTATTTATTTATGTATTTATTTATTGAACTGCACAGGGTGCTGGATGGCTTAGGTTTAGGGATTTAGGGTTGATCTACCGCGCGCGCGCTGAAATCTTGGCCGGCTTGCTCTCAGCTGTGGTCTAGAAACTCCCGGCTTCCTACCGCGAGCCCCAGCGAAGCTTGAGAACCCAAGCTCCACAGCCCTAAACCCACCAAAGCCACCTGACGCAACTCGAAGCCCCGAGCCTTAAAAGCCTTAACCCCCCCCCCCCCCCATCCCAAGCCCTGAACCCTGAAACCCTGAAACCCTGAAACCCTAAACCCTGAAACCCTGAAACCCTGAAACCCTAAACCCCCAGTTCGCTGAGCCTGAGCATCCCTTGCAGCCTTCATCTCAGCCATCATCCCCGGGTTCTGAGCATGGACTGAGGGACTTCGGGCCCGATAATCTGCCCCTCAATAGGGATTCTATAGGGTACCCTCATCCCCTCCATCACTTACTAAGAGCCAGCCAGATTATCCCAACCATGGTCCAGCTGCGACCCAGCATCTTCAAGCGCAGCGCAGATGCTCGCAGCAGCGAGTGGTCTTCTGGGCTTCAGGGTGTGTTGGTGTGCTTGGTTGCTGTTTGCGATGTGAGGGCCCCTAGAAGCCCTCAGCCCGAAAGAAGCCCTTTAAGCCCCGAGAAGGAAAGCGAAGCCCCACTAAAACCCTAAACCCTAAACCCTAAAGGTGCACTGAGAGCACGTTCTGGAGATCTTGGTGCCCAGACATCCTTCCTTTTTTGAGTCGTTGGCAGACCCGCTGTCCGCCTAAACGCGCACCTTGGGACCTTCCCCCTTCTGCTAACAGTCCTTAGTACGGATTGTAGTGATGATAGTGCCCCTAATTAGAATCCCTATTAAGGACTGTTCGCATCATCGTCAATATTATAAAGGGGGTGAGGGGTTATGCTCATGTGTCCTGCTACTTGTTAGTAATCAGGTGGTGCAAGATTTCCTCCATCAGCTATGCCAAAGCCCCTTTTCTCTCGACGTTCGAATGCGGCGGGGTTTTGGGTTTAGGGTTTAAAGGGTTTAGGCTTTAGGGTTTGGGGTTTAGGGTTTAGGGTTTCGGGTTTAGGGTTTAGGGTTTAGGGTGCCTCTTTTCTCTCAGGGTTAGTTGGAATGCGGCGGGGGTTTGGCCGTGGTGAATCTTGCGTTTGTTTTTTCCTCGGTATTTGCGACAGTTCCTCCACTTTCTCTCGCACGCGATTTTGGACTGCCTTTTACACTTCTGCAATTTGTCGCTTCCTCATTTCTCTACGCAATGTGTCCGTTTCCCTGAGTTTTCGAACATTTCGCAGATGTGTTGTTGTGCTTTCGGACCTGCTTCTTGCGTGCGTTATAGTTTCGGGTGTTTCTCGTGCTTTTGGCGTTTCGACTTTGTGCTCCCTCGCAGGGTCTCACTGAGCGCTCGGCCAGCGCCCGCTTACCCCAAAAGACAAGAGAGTGGGGTGGCGGGTGGGTTTAGGGTGCAAACCAAACCAAACCAAATCCAAACCAAACCAAACCAAACTTAGCCAAACACAACCGAACCAAACCGAACCAAACACAACCAAACCAATGCCCGACAACAAGAAACAACACAAAAACTCTCCCAACCACTCAGCCATTCTCCCAACCACTCTCCAACCATTTTTCCCAAACACCGTCCAAAAACTCTCCCGATCACTCTGCCAACCACTCTCCCAACCAGTCTTCAACCACCCAATCACTCTCGCAACCATTCTCCAACCACTCCCCAAACCACTTCCCCAACCACGCTCCCAACCAAACCAAACCAAACACAACCAAACCAAACCAAGCCCAACCAAACCAAACCAAACCAAGCCCAACCCAAACCAAACCAAACCAAGCCCAACCAAACCAAACTAAGCCAAACCAAACCAAGCCAAACCAAGCCCAACCAAACCAAACCAAGCCCAACCAAACCAAACCAAGCCCAACCAAACCAAACTAAGCCAAACCAAACCAAACCAAGCCAAGCCCAACCAAACCAAACCAAACCAAACACAACCGAACCAATGCCCGAAAACACAGAACAAGATCTACTAACCACTCAACCATTCTCCCAAGCTCCCCAATCCATTCTCCCAATCACTGTCCTACAGCTTTCCCAAACACTCCCACTCTCCCAACCACTCTCCCAACCACTCTCCCAACCACTCTCCAACCACTTTCCCCATCACTCTCTCAACCAAACCAAACCAAGCCCAACCCAAACCAAACCAAACCAAACCAAGCCCAACCAAACCAAACTAAGCCAAACCAAACCAAGCCAAACCAAGCCCAACCAAACCAAACCAAGCCCAACCAAACCAAACCAAGCCCAACCAAACCAAACTAAGCCCAACCAAACCAAACCAAGCCAAGCCCAACCAAACCAAATCAAACCAAACACAACCGAACCAATGCCCGAAAACACAGAAAAGGATCTACTAACCACTCAACCATTCTCCCAAACTCCCCAACCCATTCTCCCAATCACTGCCCGACAACTTTCCCAAAATCTCTCCCACCCACTCTCCCAACCACTCTCACAACCACTCCCAACCACTCTTCCAACCACTTTCCCAATCACTCTCTCAACCCAAACAAAACCAAACCAAACCACACCACACCACACCCAACCAAACCAAACCAAACACCGAGCCAATGCCCGAACTGTCGCAACCACTCAACCATTCTCCCAACCACTCCCCAGCCATTCTCCCAATCACTGCCCAACAACACTCCCAACCGCTCTCCCAACCATTCTCCCAACCACCTCCCAACCACTCTCCAACTCTCCCAATCACTCTCCCAACCAAACCCAACCAAACCAAACCCAAACCCAAACCCAAGCCCAAACCAGAACCCAAAGCCAAAACCAAACCCAACCAAACCCAACCAAACCAAATCCAACCAAACCAAACCAAACCCAACCAAACCAAACCCAACCAAACCAAACCAAACCCAACCAAACCAAACCCAACCAAAGCAAACCCAACCGAACCAAGCCCAAACCAGAACCCAAACCCAAACCAAAACCAAATCCAAACCCAACCCAACCCAACCAAACCAAACCCAACCAAACCAAACCAAACCCAACCAAACCAAACCAAACCCAACCAAGCCAAACCAAACCCAACCAAACTAAACCAAACCAAACCCAACCGAACCAATGCCGGAAAACATTTAAAAAAAAACAACTCTCCCAACCACTCAGCCATTCTCCCACCAACCACTCTCTCAACGACTCTCCCAACCACACTTGCAACCACTTTCCAACCGCTTTCCTAATCAACCAAAACCCAACCCAACCAAACCAAACACAACCGAACCAGTGCCTGAAAACACTGAAAGAGCTTTCCCAACCACTCCCCAACCATTCTCCCAAGCACTGTCTAACAACTCTCCCAATCTCTCTGGCAAACAACTATCCCAACCACTCTCCCAACCACTCTCCCAATCACTCTCCCAACCAGACCAGACCAAACCAAACCATACACAACCGAACCAATGCCAATGCCCGGGGAGTGTGGTTGGGAATAATTTTGGGAAAGTCGTTGGGAGAATTGTTCGGAGAGTGGTTGGGGGAATGGGATAGTTTTTTAAGGTTTTCGAGAATTGGTTCGGCTCTACTTCTTGCTCTCGTGTTTTGTGTTTCGTGTCCTGGGTCGCTTGGCTTCTGCTTTGCAGATCGGCCGTTGAAGCCCCCTAAACCCCCCTAAACCCCCCCCCAACCCCCCCCCCCCCCCATCTTTGGGGAAGATGTGGGGGGGGAAGGAAGGAGGGGGGGGTGGGGGGAGGGGTGGAGGGGCAACCATAACTCGCAGTCAAAACCGCGCCGCAGCCTGGAAGAATCGGGGAGGGGGAGAGGGGTGGGGGGGCATTCGATTCACATGGCCTCCCACTTGCCCCAAAAGCAGCGCTCCTAAGTTCACTCAACGAAACTCGCCGATTGCTACACCCTTAAACCCTAAACCCTAAACCCTAAACCCTAAACCCTAAACCCTAAACCCTAAACCCTAAACCCTAAACCCTAAACCCTAAACCCTAAACCCTAAACCCTCGCCCTAAACCCTAAACCCTCCTTCACCTTTAACATCCCCCTGGATGCCGCCCAGCTCCGAGGATGGTTCTCTGCCTGGGGGCCGAGCTCTGGGGACGCCGGTGTGCGGCTCAGACTGTTGGGCTCCGAGAGCTTAGGGTTCAGGGTTTAGGGTTTAGGGCTTGGGGTTTAGGGTTTAGGGTTTAGGGTTTAGGGTTTAGGGTTTAGGGTTTGCTGTGATAGGGCGCAGATGCTGTGAAGGTTAGGTTTTGGAACAAGCTCGAAAGCGTCGTGAGGTGCGAAGAGCAGCTTTGGCCCGATTGTGGAAGGCCATCTAACACTTTTCTCCCACCCCACGCCGTCCAAGGCGGCAAAGCCACCCAAACCTATTCCTTTTAGGGTTTAGGCCTAAACTCATTCTTTACATGAAACTTCTTCATTCCGTCACGGCTTTTCACAAAAAAACAAGCCTCCACAGGGTCAGTCTGGGCAGCCCAGGGGCCCGGCAGAGGGGCCCAGAGCGGCCCAGTTAAGGAGGCAAAGTGAGGGGCCCAAAGCCAGGGGCATCAGGGGGGTTCAGGGGGGCCCATGAAAGGGGGATGGAGGGCAGGGAGGCAACACAGAGGGGCCAGAGGCCCAGACCGGGGCCCGGGCCCATCGGGGCCGGGGGGGGGGGCAGGCCCCAAGGGGGGCCCAGAGGGTTAGGGGGGGCCCAGAGCCCCAAATCAGCTTTTTTGAGCACCCGCCCTGCCTAGCCTGGCACAGAGCGAGAAGGATGAGGCTAGGAAGGGGCCCAATGCAAACCAAACCAGGCGGCCCCAGAGTGGGCCCAGCAAGGGCAGAGAGGGGGGCAAGGGGTCCACAGAGGGCCAGGGCCCAAGGCGGGCTAGGGGGGGGCCCAGGAGGGCCACAGGGGGGCAGGGGGCCCAGGAGGCCTAGGGGGGGCCTGGCGGGCCCAGGGGGGCCCAGGGGGCCCAGGGGGGCCCAGGGGGGGGCCCAGGGGGGCGCAGGAAGGGCCAGGTCCAGGAAAAACCAAAAAAGCAGCTTTTTTGAGCACCCGCCCTGCGTGGCCTGGCCTGAGGCTTCCTGGTCCCTGGACACGCTGCGGTGCGGGGTCCAGGTCCTCCTGGCCTGGGGGCTTGGGGTAGCCCCCCCCCGAAATGCCGCGCCATGCAGAATAAGGGCTTTATCAAGAAGACCAGTACTGGTCCCGGGAGAACCTGCTCCGGTACCGGGCCCATCGTGGGTGCTACCGACCTCCTGGCTGCAGGAGGCGGGCAAGCGACCTGGGTTGACCTTCGCCGTAGAAGTCGAAGGGCTTAAGCGCCGCCCCCCCCTCTGTAGGGGGGCGGCCTAGGCCCTGAGTTTAGGGTTTAGGGTTAGGGTTTTGGGTTTAGGTTTTAGGTCCGAACCCTGAAGACACTATACCCCGAAGAAGGATCCTATTTAGGGCTTAGGGTTTCAGGGTTTCAGGGTTTGAGGGTTCTATGGGTTTAGGGTTTAGCGTTTCAGGGTTTCAAGGGTTCAGGATTATGGGGCCTTCTGGATTTCAAGTTCGCTTCACCAGGTTCAAACTGGAATGGGTCTTCGCACTTTCAGCGGTGCGCTTCCTCCGCATGGGGAATCCTGGAAAGCTAGCGCCCCTAAGTCCTAGTAAGCCTCAACCCCACTAATTAACCCCAAATACCCTATGACCGGCTTCAGCCTAGTAACCCTTGAAAGCCCCTAAAGCCCCAACAGGAGTACGAGTTCTCTTTCAAGAAGAGCTTAGGGGGGTCAGGCTTGCGGGTCAGCCGCACTCAGGGGAACTCGTGTATACCCTTGACTAAAGAGAAACACGCCTTCATGGTCCTGCGCCCTAATCCCTAAACCCTAAACCCTAAACCCTAAACCCTAAACCCTAAACCCTAAACCCTAAACCCTAAACCCTACACCCTAAACCCTAAACCCTAAACCCTAAACCCTAAACCCTAAACCCTAAACCCTAAACCCTAAACCCTAAACCCTAAACCCTAAACCCTAAACCCTAAACCCTAAACCCTAAACCCTAAACCCTACAACCTAAACCCTAAACCCTAAACCCTAAACCCTAAACCCTAAACCCTAAACCCTAAACCCTAAACCCTAAACCCTAAACCCTAAACCCTAAACCCTAAACCCAGGCTACTCTTAGCAAGCCCGAGCCCGATGCCCTCAATCCCAAACCTATTGTTCGGAGGGCATCCGCCCCGCGGTGGCCGCCCCGCAGGCTGCTCCCTTAGCTGTGGCTCGACGCACTCTGCTTAGGGTTTAGGGTTTAGGGTTTAGGGTTTAGGGTTTTTTAGGGTTTAGGGTTTAGGGTTTAGGGTTTAGGGTAACCTGTCCCGTTTTGATTTGTTGGGGTGAGTGGAGGGGGGGGGGGGGGAGTGGGTGGGGAAACTAGGGTTATCCCCTACTTGGGGGGGCTTGGGTTCCCTTCTCACACCCGTTTAAAATCAACACCAGTGCCCTTTCAAGTTGTCTGACCTACAAACCCTAAGCCTAAACCCTTTACCCCCCTAAACTAAGCCAGGGTTCGAAGACAAGGGCTGCGCGGGGGCCTGCCCTGAGCACCGGAATTCCTAAACCCTAAACCAACCCTAAACCCTAAACCCTAAACCCTAAACCCTAAACCTGACGCGCAGCTTCCAGGAGGTTTTCTTGCGAGGGATCGGAGTCAAGCTCCGGGCACCTCCCGTTGTCTTTAGATCCCCTCCATCTTCGCGCTCTGGGAGCGATAGATAAGTTCCGTTCCCTCAAGCACTACTAAAGGATCAGGGTAGGGTGATATGCAGGGCAACCATAGCTACAATTACTTGTAACCCCGCTGTGGCTACTTAGAACCCTACTAAGTCCTATGATCCTCCAAGTAGCCCTCCAGTCTGCGGGAGGCTTCTTGCGGGTTGGCTAGTGTTCAGGACAGGACGAGAAGTTGCGGCCAATCCGAAGTCTTTAGAACACGCCTCCATGGCTATCTACGGCATTCTGTAGCAGGGCTAGAGTCCCATTATGATACGTCTGTGGAGTTTATGGGGTTAGGGTACCAAGAGGAGACCATAGTATCAACCTCCGATATATTAGCGGCAGAGCGCAACGCACTCAGAAGAGCAGCCACCTAGCCCAACAAACTGCCATGCTGAGTAGGTCTTGCAAAGATTTGCTGGAGATGAGAAGGGGTATAGACAATTATGCAGGCGTTGGAGGTCCAGCCTGTTAGCTTGGGCTTGCAGGCGTAGGGATGTCCATTTCAGGCCATGAGGTTGCCAGATTACCGTCGAAAACCGGAAGCCTACCCAATAGTCGAGGCATATGTCAGGGCCTTAGGGGCTGGGTAATTAACCTTTAACCTTTTTGGTTACATATAATCCTATTACAAAAAGCGGTTAACCTTTGTATTCAGCCCCTGCGGAGCAGGCTTCGCAAGGTAAACCGGAGACCGCAAGCCCTCTATAAACACAAAGCTGAAGTTTACGGACCAGCTTGACCATGCCTCAATCTTCACTCTCTTGTCATCTCCCTACAAAGGCCCATAACCCTTCGTCAAGGAAGGTACCTCAAGTCTGAAAGAGGGAGTTTCAATGAGCCTACTAAACACTTTGCTGTTGCTCAGTTTGCGAGTGCGAACGACACTCCAGTGTACGTCGAAGATGAGGCTCAGGGGTTTTTGGAGATTTCGGGGGCGGCCGGGGGGCCGGGGGGGGGGGGGGGGGGGGGGGGGGGGGGGGGGGGGGGGGGGGGGGTTGATGGTGTGAGGGTTCCTGGCAGGCTTTGGGGTTTAGAGTTCAGGGTCAAGAACTCGCGGAGAGACGTGGTTGGGCCAAGCAATTAGCAACCCCGAAAGAAGCGATGGAACGGGGACATCCCTCTGTCACAAACACACCCTAAACCCTAAACCCCAAACCAAAACCTGCATTAAGACTTAGAGTTTAAAGGTTTGAGGAAGCACAGACAGGAAGCAGTCGAGACTCAGACCTGAATTTAACTGGGCTTAGGTTTAGGGTTTAGGGTTTAGGGTTTAGGGTTTAGGGTTTAGGGTTTAGGGTTTAGGGTTTAGGGTTTAGGGGGGCCTACATTGATGACATGTAGCAGTTAGGTAGCCAAGGTATTTCCTCATCAGATACTTTGCTGGTTCTTCACAAGGAATGAGGGAATTAGGTATCGTATATCCCCCAACACGTACCCCTGCAAGAAATTCTAAACCGGGCACCTCATTCCCTCATTCCCTAGTAAGAACCTACTAAGAACCTACTAAGAACCTACTAAGAACCTACTTAGAACCTACAAAGAACCTACAAAGAACCTACTAAGAACCGACTAAGAACCAGCAAGTTTTGGTTGTGACCCAGCCTGCTCTGGACAACGTTGCTTCCTCCGGTTCCAAATGGCGGCTTGTATCTGAGCGGTTTAAGGGTTTAGGGTTTAGGATTTAGGGTTTAGGGTTGGGGGTTTGGGGTCTAAACCCGAAAGCCCCCAAGCCCTAAACGCCCTCAGAAGTAAGGTTTGACGCAGGTGTATATACCAAGCCCTACTCGCCTGTTCCTTTGCAGATCGATTCCCCACAGAAGGGATTCCATGACGACCTGGCAAACCCTAAGCCCTGAACCCTAAACCCTAAACCCTAAACCCTAAACCCTAAACCCTAAACCCTAAACCCTAAACCCTAAACCCTAAACCCTAAACCCTAAACCCTAACCCTAAACCTATATACTCAGAGTTTCCGGATGACATCCTAAACGCAAGGACGATCCTCCGCCGACAAAAGTGCCCCGCACGATGCCCCGAGCCGTGTCCCGACCTGTGCGGCCTGGCCAGGCTTGGCTGATAATTCTGAGTCGGTAGGGTTTAGGGTTTAGGGTTTAGGGTTTAGGGTTTAGGGTTAGGGTTTAGGGTTTAGGGTTTAGGGTTTAGGGTTTAGGGTTTAGGGTTTAGGGTTTAGGGTTTAGGGTTTAGGGTATAGGGTTTAGGGTTTAGGGTCTAGGGTTTAGGGTTCAGGGTTTAGGGTTTAGGGTTTAGGGTTTAGGGTTTAGGGGTTATCCTCGGCTAAAAAGAATGGCGCGGTGCTCCAAGTGCCTGACTGAAGTTTCGAGGAACCTCAAGATTTGCAGGATATCCTTTAAAAGGGGGGTTTACGAAATAAGGGACCAACCCTAAGCCCTAAACCCTAAACCCTAAACCCTAAACCCCCTACAAGGTACCCCCTAATTTCGGAAACCCCATAGAGCCCTTGCGGAAAAGCCTCGAAAGCCTGAACCCTAAACCTACGCCCTGCCATTCACAGGAGTTAGGCCCTGAGCCCTGTGGGAACAGAGCCCTTTGGGGTTTAGGGCTTAGGGTTTAGGGTTTTGGGTTTAGGGTTTAGAGTTCAGGGTTCATGCTGGCAACCATACTAAGGATGATAGCGAAGAATGGAAATCGCCATGGTCATCGCCTTGGAATCTAACCCCCAGAACGTTTCGCATACAAGCACACAATGCCATTCTCATCTAAACCCTAAACCCTAAACCCTAAACCCTAAACCACTTCCCCCCCCCCCCCCCCCCCCCTCCGCAACATGCTGGCCCGGCCCAGGATTTGGAGGCCACAGCCGCTGCCACTGAAACGGCCGTCCCAGGCCCAGGCCTTGCTTGGAGGTTTAGGGTTTAGGGTTTAGGGTTTAGGGTTTAGGGTTTAGGGTTTAGGGTTTAGGGTTTAGGGTTTAGGGTTTAGGGTTTAGGGTTTAGGGTTAGGGTCTGTACTTCAAACTGTACTGATTGGCCCCTTAAGTGCCCCAATATGGTTAGAAGTTATAAGTACAGCTACTTATTAGCCAACTATAACTGTTCACAAGAGGCTCCCTTTCAGCACCCTACTTGGAGGTTCATGGTGCTCATTGGCTGGTTTAAGGTTTAGGGTTTAGGGAACGAACCAATCATAACTGTACTTATAGCTGTACTTATCAGCCCCTTGAGTGCCCTAATATCGTTATCAGTACAGTTATCAGTACAGTTATATTTGGTGAAGAAGTACCATTGAGCCTCCAAGTAGGGTTTAGGGATTCACGGGATTCTGGGGATCGGGGGTTCATTGTTTCGGGCCGGAGATTTGTCAACAAATGAATGTGCGCGCGTGCGCGTGCGCGTGCGCGTCCGCGTGCGCGTGTGCGTGCGCGTGCGCGTGCGCGCGCCTGCGTGCCTGCGTGCCTGCGTACCTGCGTGCCTGCGTGCCTGCGTGCCTGCGTGCATGCGTGTGCGTGCGTGTGCGTGTGTGTGTGCGTATACGTGCCGCGTGCACGCGTGCGCGCGCGTGTGCGCGTGCGCGCGTGCGCGCGTGCGTGTGCGCGTGCGCGTGTGCGTGTGTCTGTTTGGTAACCATGTTTCTTCTTGCCCCTAGAAAATAGTTCTAGTAAGACTCGTGATTGCCGAAGATATCGTTACCATTTCGTTACCTACATTCATGTACTAGTGCTGTCAGCCCTGCGAGAGCGCATCACATGGGCAAATATGAAAAGAAGTATCCCCCAGAGATTTGAGATGTTCCTCCTTAGACTAGTAGTCCTTCATAGGCATCATAGCATTATAGTACCCCCTATCAACATGTCTATTAAGAGTCCTTAATAGGGACTAGAGTATGGGAAATCCCAAAGAATGCCTGAGGCATGCTTGGAGACAAATGGTTCGGCTTCAAAAAAACACTCTCACAGAAGCCCTAAACCCTAGCCCTAAACCCGAAACCCTAAACCCTAAAGCCCCAGACCCTACAGAGGCTGTCCGGATTCGCCCGGCCCAGGGAGGACACCAGCTGGCAGCGCCTGTTCAGCATGAGGCGCGGTCAGGGTTTGGGGTTTGGGGTTTGGGGTCTCTCTCAGGCTCATATAAAAGCTCAATTTGGGGTGCCGCACAATCGTGAGCCTGCTTCCTGAACAGGATCCATGGTTGAACGATCCCCGCAAAGGTCTCTGGGTTTGGGGGTTTAGGGTTTAGAGTTTAGGGGATGGCTGTCATCCCTCCCTGCCCTCCCTTACTCCGTTCGAAACTTCCGGAAGGGCTACAGTACTGTCCCCGCTAAACCGTAGAGATGTTGCCGCCAGAACCCCAAATCGCTCATCCATTGCCTGGGGCGTGTTGTGTGGTTCTTTTGTGTCATGAGGCAGAACCTGACTTGGATGTTCATGTGCTAGAGCTCAGGTTGCTCAGGTTGCAAGTAGGACTACAACAGTCAGAATTAGCTGGTTGGAAGCTTATTTGCGGCGCTTTGAACTCTACCTATTCCTACCCCTGAACCTTGAAGCGGCCTGCCCTGAACCCTAACCCTAAACCCTAAACCCTAAACCCTTGAGCTGGATTTGCAAGGCGCCGTCAGAGCAGCCATCCGAAGAGGGCACATGGCCTGACAATGAGGCGCCTGACGCGCCTTGCCTTGGTTGGGCCATCCTCGGTCACGGAAGCCCACAGGGTTTGGGTTCGGGGTTTAGGGTTTAGGGTTTAGGGCTTAGGGTTTAAGATTTAGGGTTTAGGGTTCAGGGTTTAGGGTTTACGGTGTAGCACGTGTCAGCTGAACGCAATAGTGTGAAGACATGCCCACCCCAAGGCCACCCAATCACAACTCACTGCGAAACCAAGCCGGAGCCAGCCCAAACCAAACCAACCATTCACAACTCACACGTCGAACATTCTCATCAGAGGGCACTGAAGTTAGTTCGGACTGCGAATGGTTGGGAAAGATTTCGAAGACGAGGAAGCTCCAACAGGCAGCAGCCCAGCCAAAATTTGGGGCCACCCCTTCAGGTGTTTGCGAAGGGGACGGCCAGCCCCAAAAGGCGAGGGAGACACCCCTATGTTGGGCGACTCTTGCTCGGCGACCGCGGCTCTGCAGCCCAGCAGAGCCTGCCGCGGTCTCGCTGAGCGCTCGATTGCGCCCGCCTACCCCAACAGAGCTTACAGGGGGGGCGGGCGGGTTTAGGGTTTAGGGTTTAGGGTCTAGGGTCTAGTCTAGGGTTTAGGGTTTAGGGTTTAGGTTTAGGGTTTTGCCTTGAACATCTACATGGCTCTATTTTTTCAGAGCATATCCGAAATCTCATGTGGGCATGGCGTTCCCCTCTACTGTAGACCTATTCTGGGCCGTGACCTTTTGAGAGACGGAGTTTTGGGTTTGGGGTTTAGGGTTTCGGGCGCCCATCTGAGGATAGCATGCCCACACCGTCGCAGCCCAGTCAACCATCGGCATCCCGCCTGGGAATGAGAAGCGATGTTGGGGGTTCCAATCGAGATTCCGGGTCCCTAAACCCCGAAACGATGAACCCTAAACCCTAAAGCGCCTGCAAGAAGGGGGCCCCAGCAAACGGGCCCTTAGGGTTCAGCATTTCTTGTTCAAGCGTTCACTGGTTTAGTACCCACCCACCCAGAGAATCCCATACCATTACAACGACTAGAAGTTTCGCACGCGTCCCAAACCCTAGGCCTCAAACACCCTAAAGACTTGGCCCTGAACCCTGAACCTTACACCCTACTCTTGGAACCTTCAGCCTTGAACCTTAAACCTTAGACCTTCAACCCTAAATCCCAGGCCTTGGAACCCTAAACCCTAAGGCCCTAGGCCCTAAGGCACCCTTGACCTTGCCCGATGTTTTTCCTGACCTTGTCCAATTCTTTTTGTTTATGGCCTCTTGCCCAACCTCTTTGTGACCTTGCCAAAGCTTTTATGAATTTGGCAAGGTCACAAAAAGATTGGGCAAGATCATAAAGAATTGTGCAAGGTCACAAAAAGGTTGGGCAACGTCATGGGTTAGCCGACGGATCTTGCCCAATGGCTTTATGACCGTGCCCAATGATTTGTTGACCTTGCCAATGTTGTTGTTGTTGTTGTTGTTGTTGTTGTTGTTGTGGTGGTGGTCGTTGTTGTTGTTGTGGTGGTCGTTGTTGTTGTTGTCGTTGTTGTTGTTGTTGTTGTTGTTGTTGGTGTTGTGTTGTTGTTGTTGTTGTTGTTGTTGTTGTTGTTGTTGTTGTTGTTGTTGTTGTTGTTGTTGTTGTTGTTGTTGTTGTTGTTGTTGTTGTTGTTGTTGTTGT